TTGAGCCGGCCATGGGGCTTAAATAGAAGCCCCCATATAAAAAGAGCCGTTGTACCTCTTCACTGGGTAAAACGCGGGGTGACCGGACGCTCCGGTCAGTTGACCGGACGCTGAGCCCCCAGCGTCCGATCGCTCGCAGTTAGCCACATGTACCGATTTCAACGGTCATCTGCCTTGACCGGACACTGTGCTGAAGTTGACCGGACGCTGAACCCCCAGCGTCCGATCGTTTACAGTAAGGTTCCAAAACCAACTTTTGCCGACCGGACGCGTCCGGTCATGCTTGACCGGACCCTGACAGCGTCCGGTCGCTAGGTATCTGTCTGCTGCTCCACCCGACAACAGCATCGGACGCAGCCACCAGCGTCCGGTCGCTGAACGACCAGCGTCCGGTCACTTCCAGTGACCTCCGTCTTTTCTGTCTAGGGCGCCGATGGCACCGTTAGACTATCCGCACTCTACGGGCGGACACTCCGTCAGTGGAGTTTCTTACCCTTGCACCTAAACTTCACCACCCTTGATCAAATGTGCCAACCACCAAGTGTATCACCTTGTGCACATGTGTTAGCATATTTTCACAAACATTTTCAAAGGTGTTAGTTCTCCACTAGATCCTAAATGCATATGCAATGAGTTAGAGCATCTAGTGGCACTTTGATAACCGCATTCCGATACAAGTTTCACCCCTCTTAATAGTACGGCTATCGATCCTAAATGTGATCACACTCACTAAGTGTCTTGATCACCAAAACAAAATGGCTCCTACAAATTATACCTTTGCCTTGAGTTTTTTGTTTTTCTCTTTCTTCTTTCCAAGTCAAAGCACTTGATCGTCACTATGCCATCATCTTTATCATGCTATGATCTTCATTTGCTTCACCACTTGGAGTATGCTACCTATCTCATGATCACTTGATAAACTAGGTTAGCACTTAGGGTTTCATCAATTCACCAAAACCAAATTAGAGCTTTCAGTGGATGACATCTTACTCGCTAGTAGTGATGTTAATCTACTACTAGAAACGAAGAAGTTTTTGTCCTCGAATTTTGATATGAAGAATCTCGATGAAGCTTCATTCGTTCTAGGAATAGAGATTTACCGAGATAGAAGAAAGGGGGTTTTAGGATTATCACAAAAGGCATACTTAGAAAATGTTTTAAAGAAATACAGTATGCAAAATTGTAAGCCTTCACATGCTCCCATAGTCAAGGACAATAGATTTGGGGAATTCCAATGTCCTAGGAACCAATATGAGATCGATCAAATAAAAGCAGTTCCATATGTTTCAGCTGTCGGAAGTTTACAGTATGCTCAAGTGTGTACACGCCCTGACTTAGTGTTTGCTACTGGGTTACTTGGCAGATATCAGAGTAATCCAGGAATAGAACACTGGAGACTGGTAAAGAAAGTTTTACGTTACTTGCAAGTCACAAAATGCTTCATGCTAACGTACAGAAGATCTGATTCCCTACACATAGAGGGGTATTCAGATTCAGATTATGCGGGAGATGACAGAAAGTCCACGTCAAGATATATATTTACTCTCGTAGGAGGAGCTATATCGTGGAAAAGCTCCAAGCAAACCGCCACTACATCATCTACGATGTATGCTGAGTTTGTAGCGTGTTATGAGGCCATAGGGTAGGTGAATTGGCTGAAGAAGTTCATGCCCGGGTTGAAAGTGGTAGACGATATACATAACTCACTCAAGTTATACTGCGATAATAATCCAGCAGTATGTTATGCTCACAACAATAAGCCAAGTGGTGCTGCCAAACACATTGACATAAAGTATTATGTTGTGAAAGACAAAGTTCGGGATCATATAATTAGTCTTGAGCACATAAGTACAGAAAAGATGCTCGCAGATCCGCTTACAAAAGGCTTACCACCCAACATGTTTAGAGAACACTTAGCCGGCATCGGTTTAAGGGAAAGCCTATGATTCCTGGACAATAAGAGCCTAATTGAGAATCTATTTCAAAATAGAGAGGTGCATTGTAGCCATTAATCTAATGGCACTGACCGTGACGATGAGGCACGCTCTATGCACTGATAGGTGATGGAATGAGAAAAAGATAAAGTAAGTTAAGTTTAAGTAATAAGATGAGATCAAGGGGGAGATTGTTAGTGTTGATCTCTCCAGCTCGGCCCAACGGCCGAGTTGGGCCTTGACCTCGCGCCCTGATCGGGAGCACCCAACCCTACATGGTTGGTGGGCCCCCGTCGCACTGCGCTATAAAGAGAGGTAGGGCCGGCGGCTCTCAGTACGAGGTCACCGTCAGCCGCCACACCCACCAACAAACCCAATCCGATCTAGTGAGGGGTGCAGCCAGTGACGGAAAGTTCCACTGCCATCTTCACCGCCGCCTCTGTGCCACCACTGCACTGCGACTGACCTCAACACCGTCACCGCGACACCGCCGACCCGGACCGCATCACCTTCGCCATGGCTACGTCGAGCTCTTCCTCCAAGGCCGCGGATGGTCGGTGACATCTCACCTCCCTTCCTCTCTCTCTCTAGATCATGTTCTAGGAAGTTTTTATCCCGTATGTAAGGTTGTACCCGCTAGATCTATGTCTAGCTGATCCACTATGTCTATCATTGATATGTTGGAGCCGTGCACGCGGAAAGGAAAAAAAGTTTATTTTATTACAAAAAATGTCTTTTCTCTCATAGAATCCTTTATATTTGGGTACATAATTTTTGATATGCGCTATATTACGAGATAGAAGGAGTATCTTGGCTGACTTGAGGTGGAGGGTGACGATGCCCTGACCAGCACGCGGATGCCGTGTCTAGCCGAGCCAACACCGACATGGCTAACCTAGCCTAGTGTCGAGCCTAGGCTACTTGCCGAGTCCATGGGCTAGCACAGCACGACACAATTAATTACTTGGATAGGTCGACCCAACCTTAGATAGACCATGCTTTATTGCGCTCGTGCGAGGTCTGAGACATCCCGTTTGACTATCTATAAGGGCATCTCCAAGGAGAGTCTTCTAGCTGGCTATTTGGTTATGTGAAGGAGAGAAATCGTCAGAAAACCTTCGCCCCGCGAGGACTTCGACGTATAGGTGCACAGTTCCTCTAGCTCGTGCACCCACCTAGATGACCCATGTCTGTCTATGTGCAACTGGTGACTCACTTTTTTTCTTTTTTTTTTATTTCCACCCGACTGATGATTAAGGGTGTGCTTAGGTTCCCTCCTAGCCTTAGCCTTTCCTAGCCGGGCAAAGAGTTGGAACGGTTGGTGCATTTGGACCCTTCCCTTTGCTGCTACCTCATTGCCTGTGGAAGCAAGGATTTTACCAAATTCACTCTCCTACCCTAGCAAGGCTACCCTTGCTTAGCGAGGTCCGGGCAAAGGATCCAAGCAGACCCTAAAACCTGCTCGTTGAGGATTTCCTAAGAGCAAGGCTAATAATAAAGTCTGTTGATGGTCGTATGAAACTTTATAATCCATAATACATGACTCACTTTTTTGTCTCATAATTTTTTTTTAGTTCTAATGCAGTGCCGGTCCTGAGTTTTCTAGGACCTAGAGCCCAACTTAAACTTAGGATGCTTTATAAACATAATAAAAAATACTCGGTAAGTATATATAATTTTTTTTACAATAGTCAACATGTATCGAAAAGCATGTGTGGCTGTTGTCTCCTCGTACATAGCCACGGCTTAATAACAATGACTAGTGATTATGAGAGTCATAGTTACGGAATAAGTCTTCACACAATCTGCTAAAAAACAAAAATTTCTTATATATAATTAGCCTTGCCCTAACGGACGAATTTAATTCTTAATATTCTATGTCTCAATTAACAGATTAAAAGGAAGCGATGAGAACATACTAGTCTATCCTAACAGATGAATTTAAATCTCAATTTGAGAGATTAAAAGGAAACGATGAGGACGTACTGGTTCCACAGAGAGACCGAGATGATTTAGAGGCCTGGACAGCAGCCGGCAGGGCGGCACGTACAAGCGTCAAGCGGGAGCGGCGAGCCAGCGACGGGGGCCTCTGGCCTAGCGAACCGGCGGTGTCGCCGTGTTTGTAACTTGGAATTCCATATCGCGAATCCTTTATTCTTGCCCGCTTCAAGATATGATGACTAATTAAACAATCTCAACCTTGAGGTAAAGAGTTTACACTGCTTATGTTTACTTGAACTTTTTTCTTGTACGTAGGAAATGAGATTTTCTATTTTTACTACAAATTAATAAGCTGTTTTGTTTCACTCATATAGCTATCGAGTTTAACTTACCAACGCGAATACAGAATAAGCAAAGGGAGATAAGCATTCAATTTATTTTAGAGGAAAAAGATCCTATTTTAACGAATCACACGTAGAGATATTGCTAGTACACAAAAAGTTAATGGTATTTTATAACTAATAGATTGAGCAGCTGCTCGTAGACTGCCTGAATACGCACGCAAACGCAGCTGCCGCCTGCTGAAGCCGAAGCGGCATCGGTCGCTGCTGGGCTACGTGATTAACGTGAGGATCACATGCGGCCTCCTGGTTTGCTGGGCTACGTGACTAACGTGAGGATCACATGCGTCCTCCTGTGCTCTCTCGGTCTTGGGCTCTCAGTGGGCTACGTGACTAATGCAGTTATAGTCCACTTTTCTTCTCTCTTATCTTTTTTTTTTCTCACGTTCAGCCCACCTACAGCTCTAACTAATCTTCTTCTGCCATCCTGCAGTCCTGCTGGCCCCGATCTGATGTCTCCGTCAGGCGTCAGCCCTCGGACTCGGAGGCCGTGACCGTGCGCGTCACTTGCCTGTTGTCCCCGGGCAATCCTCGTCTATGACTAACAAACAGATCGGACCCACCTAGCAGTGAAAGAAGGACGAGCCAAAACAACCGCAGCCCGGCGGAGGCGGGCAACGCCTCGTGGCCTCGTGCCACGCAGCAGCTGGACCCAGTCCTATCCGGTAACCGATTCCAACCAAACCCCTCTCCATCCATTCCCGACCCCAGACCCAACCCAGCCATGGCCGACGACGACCCCCACGACGCCGCGGCCTCCTCCTCCTCCGCCGGCGGCGACGAAGACGACGAGGGCACCGACACCGATGCCTCCAACTCCGACCCCGCCAATCCCCAGGGCCAGGATCCTCTACCCTTCCCCGACGCAGCTTCGGTCCCACCTCACCCTCTCGCTCCCTCCCCCGAGCCCGCCGGCGCAATTCCGCAGCCGCAGCCGCAGGGTCCGCCCGCGGGCGCCTCGGCCGCGGACGACTCGCGGCGGCTGTTCCAGCGGCTGTGGACGGACGAGGAGGAGCTCCTCATCCTGCGCGGCTTCCTCGACTTCACGGCGCGCCGGGGCACCACGTTCGCGTCGCACCAGTACGACACGGGCCCCTTCTACGAGGAGATCCGCCGCCTCCTCTCCTTCGACTTCACCAAGAGCCAGCTCATCGAGAAGCTGCGCCGCCTCAAGAAGAAGTACCGCGTCTGCGCCGCACGCGTCGCGGCGCAGGGCGCCGCGTTCGCGTTCCGGAGCGCGCACGAGGGCGCCATCTACGACGTCGCGCGGCACATCTGGCGCCCCGCGTTCAGGCGCGGCGAAGGCGGCGGTGCGGCCGACGCCTCGGACGAGGACGACATCAACCCCGTGGCCGCCGCTGCGATGGAGGATGGCGGGAGCGCGTCCACGCCCACGGCGAGGGGCAGGGGAGGCCGGCGCGTTCGGAGGAGGACGGCGCAAGAGCTGGAGGCCCCCGCATTGCCAGCCACGTCCGCGCTGATGCTAACTGATGCGGCTGAGGACCGGCTTGTTGCTGCCACCGAGAATTTAGCGCCGGCAATTGCTCCGCCACCTCCTTTGCAAGTGCCAACTGTATCACCAGCGGCGGCGACCCCTTCGCCCATGCCAGTGAGCACCGGTGGCGCCACCGAGGAGGCTATCAGGAGTATCATGTCACCGTTACTGAAGGAGTTCATCAGCTCTGTCACCGTCGCTGGACAGACTGGATTCGGATTGGGGCTTGGCACAGGATTGGGCAGCATTGGGGGCTTCGACATTCTTGGTCTTGGTTTAGGGGTTGCTGGCCCAAATCCTGGAATGCCCAGTGATGATAAGTGGAGGCAGCAGCAAATTCTGGAGCTTGAGGTTTATCTGAAGAGGATTGAACTTGTGCGGGAACAGGTTACCGCTGCTTTACAAGACCTCAGGTCATCAGAAGGTTGATTGGCGATCTTCTTCCGTAGTCTTTTTGTTAGAGCCTGTCTCGTAGATTGCCTTATTTTATTAGGACTTTAGGAGAGTTGCTCGTTACAAACATTCTAACTGTAATCGATTTAAGTTAGGTGCTTGTAGTTGTCATAAGATTAGAGGCTGAAAAGATTGATTTGTAGATGAACTCACGATGAAGGTTGTTATTTACTTGCTACCTGCTTCATTGTTAGACATATTTAGTCCCTCTTTCGATAGAATTCAGTGCATAGTTGACATGCTTTTTTTTTTTCTCGAATATGCAGAAGAGCTGCGTATCATTATATTAAAGAGAGAAATGGATCGGCCCCTTACAAACACCACCGCCTCACTCCGGGCCGGGCTGTGAGGGGTTGTTTACATTACATCGGAGGAACTAATAGACAACTGAGATAGAGGTAAGACTTGACCACAAACAAACCTCCTAAATGACCTAAACAAGGTAGGCTAACCAAGCCCACCACCGTGACCCAGTCTCAGCATGCGCAGGCCATGCGATCCCGCCATGCACCAAAAATGGTGCTCATCTTTGAACTCATCAAGTAGCTTGGTGATGCAGGGGTGAGACCCGTCAAAAACACAAGCGTTTCGATGCTTCCAAAGGGTCTAGAAGCCTAGAATGATAATTGAGTTCAACCCTCTCTTCTTCTCTTTTGGAATTTTCTTGATTGCTTTCCGCCACCAAGTTGCCAGTGACCTCTCTCTTCTTGTGGGAGTTCGGTCACGCAGTCCCAAAGGTGTGAGGACCCGTGACCAGAATTCCCGAGCAAGAACGCACGTAGTAAGTAGGTGTTGGACAGTCTCATCTTCCTGATCACACAAGGGGCAGCGGATCGGGTGAGGCAAACCCTAATGGAACAATGTTTATGTAAACCACTTTATCTAATTAAGCTCCTAAGTGATGATATGCTTGTTGACCTAGGAAGTATTATATGTAACCAATGTATAAAATGATTGTGGAACCTTAGGAATACTCTAAACATGTTTAGAATATCACATGGAACAACTTTGGTATTCATGACTAAGGCTAATTTGGTCTCTAAGTCATAGTTATAGTGTAAGTCATCATTTTCGAGTGGTATGTTTGACCTAGGTTGAACTATGTCATAGAGTGTTTGCATGGCAAAGCACCCTTAAGCAAAGTTGTAGTACTTGCTTAGAGCAACAACTTTTATTTTTTGGGTCATGAGCTAATTCTGTGTCTAGCTTGGTCATTTGTAGCTCACAAAAATCAGCAAAACATTATTTTTGGCACTTAGTAAATTTTCTAAGTCCTAACTGAGTTAACAGTTCATTGTGCCTGACTTTGGGACGATTTAACTTGCTCACTGTTGCGAATTAGACCAGATCATTTAATCAATGTTGGACCTGGTATGTAGCTCTACAAGTTTTGTTTTAGCGTCGTGCACTGATTCGGTTTGGTTTAGGAGATTGGAGGCATTGAAATCGCGCTGTCAGACATGAGATCGGACCCTGATGGCCGAAGTCACGTCGCGCCGTCGTGGCCGACCGAGGTAGAGTCTAGCCGCCGCATGGCCGCCACTGGCCAGCGTCAGGCCCTCGTTGCAGCGCGCTGGCATGCGATATCAGAGAACCCTCGCGCCTCATTTCACTCACTCCAGCGTGCTCCCTCCCTCTCCACTGCTCTCTCTTGCTCTCGCCGTGGAGCTTCCCTCGTCGATGCGCAACCGCACCGCTCCGCCGTCGCCTAGCGCCCACGCCACTGCACCGTCACCGTGTTCCTCTCCATCTCCTAGACATAGCCGTAGGGCTAGATAAGCTTCGGTGAGGGCGAAATCGCCATTCTTGCCTCGCCGGAAAGCTCGGCTTCCATGGCCACCTTCACGGCGAGCTCGCCGCTGCTCGGCTCGCATGCGCATTCCTTCTGCTTCCTCGTGTTAGGGCTTGGTTAGGGTGTAGTCTAGCTTGTAGCATGACCTCACTGCGAACGGTTGCCTTGCCGGCATGGAACACGACGCGCAGCGCCGCCGCGCTCTCACCGCTGCGCCACCGCGCATGCGGGCAGACCTCGTCGGCGTGTCCCATCTAGCCTAGGTCGTCTCGTTAGATCCGTGTAGTCACCGCAGAGCTCGTGCGCTTCTCACCGAGCCATACCATGGCCTGTAACGGCTGGCGTACCTTAGCGCAACGCCACTGTGCCGCCATGGCCCGGCGATGAGGTAGCTCCGGTGCGTCCGCGCTGCCACCACGGGTACCAGTCGACGTGGGTTAGTGAGTAAATCACGTAGGTGGGGTCGGTTTCACCGGAGTGCTCACCATCGGCGAGATAACGTCGGGCGACCACCGTGCTCTGTTTTCGGGTCACTGACATGCAGGGTCCGCTGACCAGTGGGTCCCAAGTGTTAGCGAGAACAGTTTAGGGTTTTAGCTTATTCTTTTCCAGATTTTGTGCTAACTTTGAAAAATCATAAGTTGAGTTGTAGATATCCAATTTTGGTTAACCAAATTTTGTTGTGTTTCTCATGAAGTGTAGTATTTTATAAAAATATGAAATGTACAGTTTCTAGTATTTTTATAGGTGAATAAAATATAGCTAGATAAGTGTTTTTTGAATGTTTGCAATGTTGTAAATTGTATATCTTGAGCTAGAAAAGTGATAAAATTGTGATTCTAATTTTGCTGGTCTTATGTTGACATGCTCTAGCTAGAAAAATAATAAACTCACAGTATACTTGATTGAAATATGATCTTTCTATTTATTTATTAATAAATGGTGTTTTCTGAGGAAAATTTTAGGGATAAAAATAAGGAACATATTACCATGCAAATTTTTGTACAGTATTATGGAACTATTATAAAGCTAAGAAAAATATAAAATCTATTGTTTGACACCTTTCTATAGGGTTAACTATTTTCACTAAAATAAACCTTGCTAGCTTGTCATTTTTGTAGAGGATGTTATACATGTTCAAATGGTGTAAATTTTTTACAGTAGTCTATTGGAAGCACTTGGAAGCTACTATAATTTTATGAGATTTTATTGTGCACATTTATTATATGTTTGTTATTTCGCCTAATTATCTAATTAAATTAATAAAGGCATTTAAATAAATAAATTGTGATTGACCATGATATTTTTATGGTGCTTGTGATACATATAAACTGTTGATGTTAATAGTAAGGCTTAGAAGTAATTGGTTGTATGCAACTAATTAATCATTGCTTTATAATTTAAATAAATGGCTGCATGCATAGTTTTAGTTGAGCTGATAATTTTATGTTGATAATGGCCTTTTCTGTAAAACTTGTCCATAATAAAGTTGTAGATAACTTACTAATCTACCTTATGTTAAAATTTCATAGTCATAGACCTTAGGGTTTAAGAGTTTTGGCTGTTAGAAGTTTGCTATCCAAAATATTTGACAGATTTGATTAACTGAATTGTTTGACCTAGATAACTATTGAATCACATTAAGGTTATTAAAAGAAAGTTGTAGACAATTTCATAAGATTTCCATAATGTACACAACCATATTTTTTCGATGTGTATAACTCTAGTTATGGTTAAAACAATTAGCTACTATTTTGTAGTCCAGAAAATAAATTACAGAAGTGTTTGCTTAATTAATAGAGAAGAGATATACACCTACTCAGAAGAATAAGATGCACTTGTTATTACTTTCATACCATGCTGTTGAAAGTACTTATGAGGAAGCATTCATCACGTTATATTATACTATACGTGTTATCACATATGCATTCATGATATCTTATGCCATGCTCATGCATATAGGATCGACCGAGGAGATAACGTTGTTGGAATTCAACGAAGAAGAGGAAGGGGATCAGCAGGAGACTCCTCAAGCCACATCTCTAGGAGAAGAGGAGCAGACTCCCAAAGAGCTCCCTAAGTTCCCAGATCACCGACCCAGCTCTTTCCTCAAAGGCAAGACCCGGAGCATTCTAAGTCTCCCGTGTTTTATAAAATACTACTTGAGTCCTTTTATGTTTGATGCATTAGGTTATTTGAGTTGATTGGAAACACTTGATGCATAGAACTACCTTGTCCAGTTACCTATACCTTTAATCTCGTGTAGGTCCAGGATCGAATATATGCTTAGCCATGCTTAGACCGGTAGAAGTCGGGTGATTTTCGGTCACCTGTGAGATATAGGTGCATACTGAAGCACGATTGGCTATATTTGCTATCGTGGAAAAGAATCATGGGGTAATGTAAATGGAGACTAGGCGGAGTCTTTGTGTAGGTTGACTCATGTGATTCCATCTATACTGATTAAGGACCGTACCATTGTTGGCACTTCTAACAAGATTAAACGCATGCCTATCACTTAGTTGGCTGGATAACTCATTTCGATCGCGAAGCCGAGTAGCTCAACTCAAGCTGGGCCCCGCTCTATTAGAGTGTGCACTCTGGATGATAGTAACGATGTGCGGGGAGCCAAACGTGAGCCCAAGGGCAGGCCGGGCCTGAACGTCCTAGCAACTGGTTGTCCTTGATTGTGCGGCGCTAGGCGAACCCGCGAAATGTGGACTTGAGTTGTACCAAAGGTGACCTAAGGTGACCGTTGATCTAGTCTACCTAGGTTTGTGTTAGGAATAAATTCCCAGCTGGTTGAAATCGATTTGAATCGTCGTCTCTCCCGGATAGTAAGAAACTTGGCTAGCTCCAACATCGTAGTAATTGTATTATGGAATGTGATGGTTCGGATAAACATGGAATTACTACACCGACTATAGTTACTATTGTATGTTATCAAATGATATACCACATGTTTGGCATAGGATAGTTGCTAATCTACAGATGAATAGCTGTAATTAACTTGATGACTGAACTATAATTGTATAACTAAGTTAATCGCTTTTTATGCAAAATGTTGTTAAGCTACCTCCCCTTATAAAGCCTTGCATAATCCTTGGTGTCAATTTATTTCTAGTTTATGACGGGTAAGTCTAGCTGAGTACCTCCTTGTACTTAGGGTTTTATTCCCATTGTT